TTGTTATTTTTAATGTTTACTTACTCCTTTGGTCTACTAGGATTATCCAACTGCAGTCCCATTAAATAGTTCTATTATAAAATGGATTTATTAACCAGAAACCTGAAGCAACAAAAATAAAAATCAAAAAAGATTTCTTATTTATTATTAAGATTATTTTCAGAGTTTTCATACCTTAGTCCAAATCTGGAGCTTAGCACTAAGGGATGTTGTTTATTAATTGCATGGCCTAGTATAACTTTCCTAAACACCTCAGCTCCTTTCACTGAATATAATTATGTTTATTCCATCTAGTTATATAGAAGGAAAGGAGGGAGATTTTGCACAGTGGTTGGTATACAATAAGCAATATTAAAGTTTTCTATTAGGACATCCCTTAACAGCAGTCTAAAGTTTTAATTTTCAAAGATCTGTCCCGCACATCCTAATTCTTATTCTCACGTTTTGTTACTGAGTGTGTGTGCTGTGTAATTAAACTTAACACAAGCGGATGGCAAATAGGAACTTCTCAATTGTAGCAGCTGAGAATCAGATGATGGTACGCTGACTCTTTTCCCCAATTGGCAGCTACCCACTACCTCTACTGATTTTTGTCCTGACCAGAATTTCATTATTTTAGAAGTTACCAATGTAATTTTAATTTTTTTCTAGGATGTTCACAATGCTTCACTATGATTCTCCTTTCTCTATCTTTGATGTTGTCCCAGTATACAGTGAACACACTGCCACAACACAACACAACTCATCCAGATCACACTAAAGCTTTCAACGAACTGTAGAAAAGGTAATTCATGTATAGGCTTTCATGGGTGAACATAAGGGCTACTGTCAGTGTCCTGGAACTGCTCACATTAGCTGTAAAATGAATGGCTTCACAGATTGTAGGACTGAGGCCAGGCCATCTTTTTGCTTTATTTGGCTGTGTAATTTTTGGCCATTTTTCTTCATCTCTTTGAATCTTTTGTCTCCTCATCCACGTAATAGGCACAATAGTGACTTCTCAACAGTTGTAGTGTGGATCACTTGGATTTTAGATTTTGGAATGTAACACATGTTCATGGCAAATCAACTTCCTTTCCTGTCCAGGGTACACGTCACAAATGAGTCTTACTGCTGACATATTGGATTCACTAGTGCTTTGCCTAAGACAGCTGTGGTTTTATGGGATTGTGAAAGAAGGAGACAGGAGAGAATGAGAGAGTATGGTAACTAGGAAGGTGGCATCTCAAGATGACTGTGGCTGAAGACAGAGGTATAAGCCTTCTTTTCCCCTTCCAACTGCTCATTTAGAATGTCTGTTCTTCATCTTAGTCTTTAACTCAGAAAGATTCCAACTTGCATGCCATTTCTCCTCCCTTAATCTCATTGGCAACAACCTTAATCTAATGATTTCCTCAGATCTTTTCAGGACGCTTCTCTGTACTGATAACAATTAAAATTGCTAGGCTGTGCTTTGTGGTTAGACACTGTTCTAAGTGCTTTGCATGTGTCAACTCATTCAAACCTTGCAAGTATTCTGAGAGGGGATTTTGTTTCTATCACAGTATCATCAATGCCCAGCTGAAGGGGAAGGGAAGTTCATCCACCTCCTCAGGTTCACAGAGCTGAAGGTCTAAGCTGGGTTACAGCGCAGGAAATCTGCATCCAGGGGCAATGCCTGAAGCCGCCTCACCAGATGGAATAGGACATACTTTTAAGACAGTTAGATCCTCTCGCCCTTTCCCAACCCTGCTGTAGGCATTCCTCTTGGGTCAAGGGAGGTACTCCTTCGTCTTTGGACATTGTGCTTGTGCCTCTGATGTTTTTGCTTTGGCACAGAGTCCTTCTTTTTGTAAGTTGTTTTTGAGACAGGGTCTCCCTGTAGCCCCAACTGGCCTGGAATTTGCTATGTAGACTAGGCTGGCCTTGATCTCATGGAGATCCATCTGTTTCTGCCTTCTGAGTGCTAGAGTTAAAGGTATGTACTATCACTCTCAACTTATTATTTTGTTTTATTGTTGTTTGCTATTGTTTTTTAATTAAATTTTAAAAACTGGGCGGTTTCTTAGTTGTATATAATGTACTTTTACCATAACTACCCTTTACCTCCTCTTCTCTCCCTCCACTCCTGTTGACACCTTCCTCTTCTCAACCAGTTCCCTTCCTGCTTTCAAGTCTTTTTGTTTCTGTGTGCCAGTCTTGTGCAGGTGATCACGCTGTTATGTGTTCATGATTACAACAGTGATGTCATATGGGGAGACAGCATTCCTTAGCACTTCTCCTCATCCCCTGGCTCTTACAGTCCTGCCACTCTGTCTTCCATAATGTCCCTTGGCTCTTACAGTATGCAATATAGATGTCCCATTTAGGGCTGAGCATGGGCAAAGGTCAAATCAGAGACCATAACCTGTCAAAGTGCTTTTGTTTTAGAGACAGGTTCTCATTCTGTTCCAGGCTTTCCTGAAGTTCACTTTGTTTAGCCCAGGCTGGCCTAGAGCTCGCTACATAGCTCAGGTGGTAGAGAACAAACAATTTTAGTTTGTACACTTGCAGATCGAAAGGGCTGGATATGAATGATATCAGTAGAGAAAACTGGAAAGTCACTGAGTTAAGGCAGAATGGAACACTATAGCAAATAGGCTGTTTCATGTAGCTGGGACATAGATCAGGGCAAGTGCCTCTGGCTTCTTATAGACTTGTTCTTGGGTTTGTGTCTGGTGGGATGGGACCTGCACTCAGACTGAACTTTTTCTAACAGTTATTGCTCATAACATTAGCTCTGAACAAGCAATGCAGGTCATGAAGTCATCTTGAGAACAGCAGAGGCATTAACAGAATTGCTGCTTTCGTTTAAGCAAAACACAGACATCAGTGTGCTGGCTTGGGAAACCCAACATCTTAGATTGAGGGAATTGGTAGAACACTTTATTTTGCCAAAATTTATTTTAAATGGTGGATATATCATAGCACAGCCTAGGAAGTCTTTTCATTATAAGGAGAGATCACAAACAGGTATAATAAAATATTTTGAATTGAACTCAGGAGTCAATTTCTCACCACCATTATTAAGAGAAAACAGATCTCAGTTTGTAATTGTGAATGAATACCAAAGTGTCCCAGAGAAAAGGACCAGCATTCTCATAGCTGTGAGTCCCGTAATCATGAGCACTTCTAGTCTCTTCTCTTCCATCCCCTCTTTGGCTTTTCTGATTCACACACCCCATCCCACTAGAACCTTGGCTCACTGCCAGAGCATGTGTTTCTCCACATCCCCATGGAGCCTGACTGAAGTGAAACTGGCAGAGTTCCAAGTGGAAGGAGGACTAGTGAAGAGTCCATTGGCTCTGCAAGCTGTGTGAAGATTGTGATGTGTTCTTTAGGAAGGCTGCTTATCTACCCAAATGCATCCTTTAAAGCCAGCAAAGTCTTTGGTGTTACTGTTGTTCTGGGGTATATTTCAATGATAAAATATTCCACACGTCCTTTTTGAGTATCTATCACATAAGAAGCAGTGTGCTGGGAGACCCGAAGCATTAAATGCAGACTTTTTTCTTCATGTAATTTGAGAAAGTAGCTGTCGTTAGGATGACTTTATTGTGCGTAGTCACTTGCATTTCAAACACTTATTCATAGACGAACTCCAGCCCCTCGTTTCTTGGTTATCTGCATGCTTGTTTTATCTGCAGCATAATTTTGTTTTGGTGATTTGAAATTCCATCTCTAATTATAGTCCTAAACCCCAGGATGGGGCTGCAGAAGGCTGCAGCAGTTGTTGAGTCTGGTGCTGCTCTTTCAAGACTCAGACTGTTAAAATTGGCTTTTATCATCTGCAGTTTTAAGTGTATTTTACTATTGCATTTTTATTTATCATTGCGAAGATTTATTTAGATTATTTTAACTATTGTTTAAGAAAGTCCCAATCATTGAATACCTTAAAAAGCAAGACCTTATTTGCATGGATAATATAGATGTGGTGAATTTTAACAGTCTGGGGTAGGGGGCATATACTTAAACCTTTATATGTCTGTTGGGAAACATGATTTTAGAAAAAGAGATAGCGAAATGGCATTCTGAACTTAGCATGTCTTTAAAATGTCTTTTTATCAATGTATTAGTTACTTTTCTGTTACTGTGATAGAAACAACATAACCAAGGGAACTTATAAAAGGTTAGCTTGTAATTCCAAAGGGGCAAGAGTCCATCATGGTAGGGAGGCAATGGCAGCAGAGGTAGCTGGAGTAGGAACAGAAGCTAAGTGCTCACATCTTCAAGCAGGCAAGGGAAGAAAAGTGCAAGTGGAGATCCTACAAGGCTTATGATCTCTCTAAGTCTGCCCCAAGTATCACACTTTCTAAGATCTCCCAAAACAGCACCATCAAGTGGGGACAAAATGTTCAACTACTTGGAACCTATGGGGACATTCTCATTCAAACCACCACAATCAACTTTTTAAATTTTATTTATTTTTTACTTTATGTGTTTGAGAGTTTTGCCTGCACAGATGTAAGTGCACCCATGTTGTTCAATGACCACAGAGGCCAGAAGAGACTGTGGGATCCCTTTGGAACTGGAGTTGTAGGTGGTTGTTAACAGCTGTGTGGGTACTGGGAACCAAACCCGAGTCTTCTGAAAGAGCAGCCAGTGCTCTTACCTGCTGAGTTATCTCTCCAGTCCTGATTTTATCAATGTTTAAAAATTGTTCACTATTTTTTGTTACTATGTCAATTGTAGTAATTTCAGAAAATGCATTATAATTCACAATAAATACATTTTTTCCATTAAAATACTAATAGCAGAGAGATTATTTTTAAAAGAAAAAATACTAATTATATTAGTACTTACAAAAACTACAGCATACTGAAATAGTCAAAGAAAGAAAAACAGATTTTTATTGAAATTCAGATAACCCCACACTCCACTGAAATTTATCACACATACAATCATGAGTATTTTGGAAACCATCAGAACTGGACTCAATGGAGGCTTGGATTTTAATACTTTTGACGTTCCTTTCTTTTCAGACACAGCATGAAGTTATATGAATATGAGAGAACCAGGAATCCCCTCTTCTGGGAAAGAATTCCTTTTCCAAACGGAGACAGGCTTCTGGATCCTGCCAAACCTTGACCTTGTCGCGGGGCCTCATCTGCCTTTCCTGCTCTTTGCAGGGACTCTTGGAACATTGGAGCAGTGATGCTGGCCTCGTGTTTACAGATTTCCACCCTGTTACCTTGTTTACGTCTCTGTATTAGACAAGCTTGCACTAATTGCTCTCCATGGTGGCCAATCTCTTCAAGAGCTTGATTTTACCTTACATTCATAAGCTTTGCAAAGGAATGTTTACAAAGAAATTGGGAAATACAACCAAAAAGAAAGAGAATCGTCAGCAGAAAAAGGATCAAGATTTTCCTACTCCTGCCCAAAGCAAACCCCCCAAGTTTTCAAATACCCTGAAAAACACCGTAAAGAGGATCACAAAGTCTCCATCCACTCGCAACTTCTCTGCTGAAGACAACGAGGCTAACCAGGCCTTTTCCCTCTCACCAACGTTCAGTTACCGAGTAGCTATTGCCAATGGCCTTCAGAAGAATGTGATCAGCAGCGATGAGGACCCACTTCAGGAGCTGTCTTCAATTGAGAGTTCCTACTCCGAATCCTTAAATGAGCTAAGGAGCACCACAGAAAACCAGGAGCAGCCAACACGCACCATGCCTGTCCGACGCAACAGGAAGAGCTCAAGCAGCCTGGCGCCCTCGGAGGGCAGCTCCGATGGGGAGCGCACTCTGCACAGCCTAAAATTGGGAGCTTTACGAAAACTGAGAAAATGGAAGAAGAGCCAAGAGTGTGTCTCCTCAGACTCAGAGTTAAGTGCAGTAAAGAAAACCTGGGGCATAAGAAGCAAGTCTTTGGATAGAACTGTCAGAAACCCAAAGACGAATGCTCTGGAGCCGGGGTTCAGCTCTTCTGGCTGTATTAGCCAAACCCATGAAGTCATGGAAATGATCTTCAAAGAACTTCAGGGCATAAGTCAGATCGAAACAGAACTTTCCGAACTCCGGGGGCACGTGAATGCTCTCAAGTACTCCATTGACGAGATCTCTAGCAGTGTGGAGGTTGTCCAAAGTGAGATCGAGCAGCTGCGCACAGGGTTCGTCCAGGCTCGGAGGGAAACCAGAGACATTCACGACTATATCAAACACTTGGGGCACATGGGCAGCAAGGTGAGCCTGAGGTTTTTAAATGTGCCTGAAGAGAGATTTGAGTACGCTGAAAGTGTGGTGTACCAAATCCTAGTAGATAAAATGGGATTCTCTGATGTACCAAATACTATTAAAATTGAATTTGCTCAGAGGATAGGACACCAAAGGGACTGTCCCAATGCGAAACCACGACCCATTCTTGTCTACTTTGAAACCCCTCAGCAAAGAGACTCTGTCTTAAAGAAATCATATAAACTCAAAGGCACGGGCATTGGGGTTTCCACAGATATTCTGACTTATGACATCAGGGAAAGGAAAGAGAAGGGGATTCCTTCCTCCCAGACATATGAGAGCATGGACATGAAGCTATCCACTCCAGAGCCCAAAGCCAAGAAGTTGCTGCCATCCCCCTATGACAGTGATGGAGAGCTGGAATCTGACCTCAGTAGGAGCAGTTATGCTGTGCTTCCCAAGCCAGAGCTCCCAGCAAAGGCGAGTACTTCCAAGTCCAGCTCGAAATCTCACAGTGCTAGGTCTAAGAACAAATTGGCAAATAGCAACAGAATTTCAAGTAAATCAGACTATGATAAAACATCCTCAAAACTGCAGGAGTCAAACACCTTGGAAAAGCAGTCCACACCCCATTACGCGGAGGCCACGCCTCTCTGGCACTCACAGAGTGACTTTTTCACTGGGAAAAATAGTCGTTCTGAATCAGACTTTTCCAAATTGTGTCAGTCTTACTCAGAAGATTTTTCCGAGAATCAGTTTTTCAGCAAGACTAACGGGAGCTCCCTGCTTTCATCTTCAGATCGGGAACTCTGGCAGAGGAAGCAGGAGGGGGTGCTTATGTTGTACGACAGTCCTCAGGACCAGCCTTTGGATGGGAGTACCAAAGGAATGCCAGGCCAGAGTGAAATCGAGAATACAGAGACTGTGGATAGTGGAATGAGCAACAGCATGGCCTGCGCATCTGGAGACAGGAGCAATTACAGTGGTTCTCAGCTCTCTTTACATGAAGACCTGTCTCCATGGAAGGAGTGGAATCAAGCAGAGCACGGAACTGACGCAGCCTTAGATTCATCCACACAGGAAGCCTTTGACTACGACACCAACAGTCTGTCTGACCAACAGCTGGATGTCTTCCACAAAGACCTAGATGACTTAGAAAAGTGTCACAGTGACCTGCAAGATGACTCTGAAAGCTACGACTTAACCCAGGACGACAACTCTTCTCCATGTCCTGGGCTGGATAATGAACCACAAGGCCAGTGGATTGGCCAGTACGATTCTTACCAGGACGCCAATTCTAAGGCACTGTACCCGAACCAAAGCCAGTTGTCCATGATGTATCGAAGTCAAAGTGAATTGCAAAGTGATGATTCAGAGGATGCTCCACCCAAATCCTGGCATAGTCGATTAAGTATCGACCTTTCTGATAAGACTTTCAGCTTCCCGAAATTTGGATCCACTCTGCAGAGGGCCAAGTCAGCTCTGGAAGTGGTATGGAACAAAAGCACACAGAGTCTCAGTGGGTATGAGGAGAGCGGATCTTCCTTAATGGGGAGGTTTCGGACATTATCTCAGTCCACTGCAAATGAATCCAGTACTACCCTCGACTCTGATGTCTACACAGAGCCCTATTACTACAAAGCCGAGGAAGAGGAGGACTACATTGAACCGGTGGCCGACAGTGAAACAGATTATGTTGAAGTGATGGAGCAAGTCCTCGCTAAGCTAGAAAACAGGACTAGTGTCACAGAAACAGATGAACACACACAGGACTATGATCATCCTTCCTATGAAACACCCTATGAGACCCCCCAAGATGAAGGCTATGATGGTCAGGCAGATGACATCATTAGTGAAGGGGAATTGGAAGCCTTGAATGAACCAGTGGCTGAAATGGAAATAAGAGACGATGAAAAGCAAAGCCTTCCTGAACAGCCAGAGGAGGTCATGAAGCCAAAGAGAATCCGACCCTCATTCAAAGCAGCAGCATTAAGGGCCTACAAGGAGAAGATGGCAGAACTGGAAGAGAAGATCCTGGCTGGAGGTACTCAAGTTTAAATGCTATGTTATGTGATAGTCCATCTTAATACTGAGAGGGTCTTTAGAGGATGGCCTGTGTTTTCTTGGGAGAAAGAATTTACCTGCAGGAAGTGTGTGTGTATGTGTGTGTGTGTGTGTGTGTGTGTGTGTGTGTGTTCACTGTGTTCAGATAACTCTCAAGAAGTCAGCATCACAGTATAAAACAAAAGCATATTTCAAATAGATCATGTTGAAATGAGCCCAAATATGGTTCTATATATGGTGGATTAAGATTCCTGCACTAATTCAGGAAATCATAATGAAATCAAAGGACAGGCTCTTAACCAACCAGCTTGACATCCACTCCTTAGTCCCAGTAGGTCACATGAATGAGGAGAAATGTGTGCTTAATTTAAAAGTTTGGAAAAGGTAGGCCGGTTGATGTAACCACTACTATCATCAGAACACGGTCTGGAGCCTGAAGGAAGGAAGGGTTAGGTATGCACAGTTAATCCCATCCAGGTCCATGGATGCCACCAACTTCTCTTAGCTGATGCAGCTGAGAGAGAGAAGCAGAGCTGGGAGGCCAGGCCACACCCCAGCATGCAGAGAATGTTCTTGGAGGGCAAGTGGAGGAGTTTCCCCAAGAGTGGAGTAGAAGCTGTTTCCTCATTATGCAAAGGAGAAGATCTGATAACTATTTTTCTTAATTTCCTAGGGGAACAGTTTTGAATCTGGGGCTTAGCAGCTGTGATAGATAGGAGTTTACTGATTTTTTTTATTAACAAAACCTCGTTTGTACTCACCTCAATTCTTTACCTTTCATTTTATTTCATGCTTATCATTTTGTATTTTAGAATAGTTTTTAAAAATCTCATTTTAAACAAATTTGATATGTTCATGTTTTCCCAAATTATATCTTTGTGATGTTTCACTGAAATATTTACTGTGTATTTTCTAAAGGCATACACACTCGTGCAATCAAGTGTCGCATGCTATTCTGAAATACTGTTACAGACTAAGGCACACAGTAGCGGACTGTGCCTTCTTTGCAATCAGAAAAGTCTCCTAGTGTCACTTCCTGACAAAGCTGGGCTACTGAACCAGCAGATGCCTTTGTCATCAAACTCATGCAAGTCTTAAGACAATTGAAATGACAAGTAGGTTTTTTGCTCTAAAAATCTTACCTACGAAGCAGCACAGCCTGCATAAGTAAAGAAGAATATGAGGGTGTGTTAGCTGTGATACTGCTTCTGATTTCAAATGGACGCAGTTAGAACTGATCCCCAAATGCAAAGTAGCCCAATTTTTTGTAAACATAATTATGATAAAATAGCTACCTTGTATCAGAGTAAGTTTGATAGACATCCTTGTCAGTGAAACTCAGCTCACAGTTTTTTCAGATAAAATGAAACAATCACATTTGGTGGTGCACGCCTTTAGTCCCAGCACTCAGGAGGCAGAGGCGGGCAGATCTCTGTGAGTTCGAGGCTAGCTTGGTCTCCATAGTGAGTTCCAGGCCAGTTGGGGCTGCAGGGAGACCCTGTCCCAAAAAGACAAAAAAAAATTGCTGTTAATTCAGAGACATTTACTTAAAGGTAAAGACTAAACTGTATTTATATGTGTATGTGTGTGTGTGTGTGTGTGTGTGTGTGCATTCATGTATTTGAGTATGTGTGTTTGTGTGTTTAATGAAATATAATGAATACATGTTTGAAATTAACTAGCTAAGTTGTCTGTTTAAAATATTGGACAATATAAATATGGCAATAGCATACATTTCAGACCAAAATTGGGTTTTCAATTTTTAAGAGGGAAACTGATGTATATAAACATGAAATACTGTTCAGATTTCTGAAAGGAGATCTTGCCATTTGTTACAACACAGATGTAACCTTGGGTTATTCTGTGTTAAGTGAAATAAGCTAGACACAAGAATATTTGCACTTAAATGTGGAATCTTAAAAAAAAAAACAGTCAGGAGGCTTTGGTATAATCCATTGACAAAGCAGTTATCTAACATGTGGGAAGCTCTGAGTTCCATCTTTATCACTGAAAAAAAATCAAATATAAAAAGATAGAGAATAAGACAATGGCTACCAGGAGCCAGTTATTATGTAGAGGAGGCACTAAGAGATGTAAGGGGAAGACATGAAGCAGTAGCTAGAGAGGGTGAGCCAAGACGAGGGTCTGTGCTGACTAGAGTGAATGATAGTGTGTTCTGAATTTGGGTTGGATGAGCAGAATGTAGCTGTTCCTCACATACACATCAAGGGACGATCATGTGAGATGATGAATATGCTAATTTATTTCACTGTAATAGTTTTACTATCTATATCTATCTATTTATGTCTTAGAAATATGCGTAGCACATTTACTTTAAAATTATATTTAAGGCAGGCATGGTAACACATGCCGTTAACACCAGCATTCAGGAGGCAGAGGCAAGCAGATCTCTGAGTTTGAGGCCAACATGGTTTGCACAGCGAGTTCCCAGCCAGCTGGGGCTACACAGGGTGACTCTCCCTATCACAAATAACCAAAGAAAAGAAAAAATTAGTTTTAAAAAATAAAATTCCCCATTTGGAAACTCTACGAATTAGATTGCTATGATAAGGTCCCTCCTGCCTAGCCATCAGTGGAACTCCTGGGAAAACACAGTTGTGCTTGGCTGCATTGGAGAAAGCGGTTTTGTGCCATGCATCTGACGTCCCAGGTGTATCTATAGAGGGCTCATATCCCTGTACCATCTTAGAGCTTGGGTTGTTGTCATCTCATGAGGCGCCTTTGAATGGAATCTGCTGGGTGGCACCAGTCCTAGAGGAAATCAGCACACAACGCTTTAAAATCAATGCCGGTTGCTGAAAGGCACCAGATTGACTACCCAGGAGGCTGAAGTAGCCTAGATTTCAAAGGGCAGCTCAGCTCCTTCTGGCAGCAGTCAGGCATTTTCTCATCCTGTGCTACCAATATGCTTCTGAGGGAAGGGCAGCCAGAAAAGGACTTTTCCAGGTCCTTCTCTACTCTGAGCACCCAACAAGGTGCCAATTGCCACGATGGTTTTGTGCTCATAGCCATCTGCTTAGTGGGCCTTGGGCAGATGCCAGTGATTTGCTCTCCATGGCTATCTGGTACTTATCAGGAAGCAGGCTCTGCTTTTTATCACAGACCCAGCCAGATTGGATCGCAAGGAGCTTTCTGGAAATCTCTGTGGGATGCTGATGCCCAATACAGCATTATGAAATTATGAGTTCGAACACTTGAATTATTTCAAATCCTAAAATTCTGAAAGACAAGAAATCCTTAATGTTTGTGGATATTTGATGACTGTATTTCTGATATTACCATCTCAATGGACATATTGATTTGGTGGACCTGTGGTAGGGTTGGGGATTATATTCAGAATTGTGAATTATACTAATGCATGTCCTTGCAAGGAAAGTCCAAAACACACTTACACACACACACAGAGAGAGAGAGAGAGAGAGAGAGAGAGAGAGAGAGAGAGAGAGAATTTAAAACATAATAAAGTAGACTGAAAAGTAAAGTATGATATGTTGAAGATACATCTGCACTTCAATGTTCTTTACAGTCCTGATCACAATAGCCAAGAAATGGAAACAACTTATGAGCTCATGAGTTAATAAATGGATAAAGAAAATGTGCATATTCACAATGGAATATTTTTCAGTCACAAAACCAGAGTGAGGTGCATTAATGGTGACATAGATGGAACCAGAGATCACTGTGTCAAGTGAAATAAGCCACGAATAGGACAAGTGCTGTGTTCTCCCACAGGTAGGGTATGGAGAAGTCACACTCACAGAACCTGAGTGTAGGGGTGGTGACCAGCAGCAGAGTGTGTGGTGCAAGTTCGAGCAGTGGGTGCCAAGTACAGCTGAATGAGTAAGAAGTCTGGTGGGCTACTGCTTTGCAGGATAACTAGATATAAAAAGTAGCACAGGGGCTGGAGAGATGGCTCAGCAGTCAAGAACACTGACTGTTCTTGTAGAAGACCCAGGTTCAAATCCCAGCACCCACATGGCAGCTAACAACTGTCTGTAACTCCAGTTCCAAGGGATCTGACGGCCTCTTCTGTCCTCCGCGGGCATTGCAGGACATGGGTGCACTTACCTACATACAGGCATAACACTCATACACATAAAAATAAAAATAATAAAATGTATATATTTTAAAAGTAGCACCAAGGTTTTTGTTTCCTCCCTAAAGAAATGGCAAATGTTTGAAGAGGTAGATGAGTGTAACCTGAGTTAAGCATTATATAATACGTACATGTATTAAAACACCTCACCTCACCCCCATCAACACACACACACACACACACACACACATTTTTTTGCTGTTTATTTTATTTCATGTGTAGGAGTATATTGCCTGCATATGTGTAAGTGCACCCATGCTGTGCAATGCCGGAGTAGAAGAAGACTTCCCCATGTGAGTGCTGGGAATTGAACCAGGCTCCTCTGCAAAAGCAGCTGGGGCTACAGGAGACCCTTCCTATCTCAAAAAACCATTGAGCCATCTCTCCAGTCCCTTTTATTCTGTTTTTTTTTTAACATTATAATATAATCTAAACTGAGGAAACAAAATAGATGGACCCTCTCAATTTTTAGAGAAACAGAATTCCAGATACTGACATACTTGGGAAAAGCAACGCTATATGTGCATTTTTTATTTTTAAAATATTTGTATTGATTTGAGAATTTCATGCAATATATTTTATGTTCAGACTCCCCCCCCTTCCACTCCTTCACCCCTCACTCTTCATGTCCTCTATTGTTTGTCTTTTTAAAAACATTTTTAAAGATTAATGGAGCCTAATCTATGTTTGCCAAGTGCTCTTGAGTGTGTGAACCCCACAAGCTACAATAACATCTGCTTTGGCAAAATATGCCCACTGGTACAATAGTGCCATAAATATTATGGGAGTAACCAACCACCCTCTAATTGGATTTAAGGCCTGCTTCACAATTAGGAGTCCAACCTGACATTGTTATCAGGCCC